CCAGGGACTCTTAAGGGTTAAGTGTTACATATCAAGAATAACTAATGTTCCCCCAAACAACATTTTTACTTAGATGTTTGCTTATGTAGTCAAGAATATTTAATATTTAAATATTACACCCTGGAGTTTTGGATTCAGTAGGTTGTTCATCTTGGCCAGGCATCTTCTGAAAAAATTATATTTCTGTCCTCTTGAGTAATTTCACTCAAAAAGATATATAAAATACTGCAGCTATGACAGAAGAAAGAATATGTCTTGGGCCTTTTCGAAGTGGATATGCTGCAGGCTTGACATAATGTGATAAAACAATACAAAATGAAACAGGAGATAAATTGAAAAACAGAATAGTTTATTGCAGAGACGTGTAGTATAGTTGTGTCTCCTAATTGCAGCTGGTAGTTTAAATAAGTGTTGATGGATGGCTGAAAGAATAATGGTGTTTTCATGTAATTTAAAGAGTAAATTATGTATGAGTAATTATCCAGGCTGAGGCAGTAATTACCTGAGACATGACATTTTAAATCCAATATTTTTTTCTCCACAACGTGAAACGACAGCTTTAACACAATCACAGTGTACTGACAGTGACATCTGGAAATTAATGAACAATTATCCAGATGACAAAGACTGGAACAGCAGGTATTATGCATGCATTCACTCAAAACACTTTAATTCGTGCTGAACAATGGAAACCTAATGACCAGGATTAGGCTTTTCAGTTTTATCATGAAAGTCTGACATTCACTGACGGGATAAAAAGAAAAGTGTGTTATATTGATGTTTTTGAATGTGTCACATGTGAGTGTGAGTGTAGCCATGCTGGGTCAAAAGCTCCCATAACATCTGGCTAAAGTGTAACATTTTCAAAGCTATATTTCTACAGAAAACACTTTAAAAAAGTGATTTTGTCCAAGGAAAGTTTTGAGTTCCTTCAAAATGACAGAAATCACAATTTCATTAGCAGAAATCTATAAGAGGGGATTGGTCATTTTAAAAGGGTTTCTTTCCTCGATTTGGTTTCACAACTGTGAAATGTAACATGTAAGTTGTGAGAGGGTTAATTAAACAATCTGTTAATTGTGTGCATGTGTAAAGGTTAACAAAATGACTCACTTTTCTGGCAATGCGACGTAAAAAATATCCCGTCTGTCATCACAGCAAAATGCAATGACTCGGATAGGCCTTAGTTAAAAATATTGAGAACATTTCTCAATATTTGGCGATTTATTTTGGTCCGTTTGATACATTTCAGGATCTTTTGGGTATTTTTCTGTTTGGCTTCCTTAAATTCTATCACTGCCTGAAGTACTTTGGACAAATATTTTTGAGTTAAAAGATAAAAATGGAGAGCCTAATCAGACAGTAGGGTTTATTAAAATGTTGCATAATTGCTTTTAAACCAAAAGAGGGAGACATCTACCCTTTTTGTGTAACATTAAAATATGGAGGGGGAGATGAACAAACATTAAATTGTTTACTTAAATTCATTAAACTTTAGCCTGAGGCACAGTGTAAAAGTTTTAGTATTATGTAAGCATGCCTGTGCAGTTTAGTTTGTCATCTATCTGGCTTGCTCATCTCCCCTTATTAACAAACACGCTGCCCTGAAGGCTTTACACCCAGAGAGAGAGCACTTCCTGCCGATAAGATGCCAGGCATCACAACGTTAATTCCACTGTCAGTGTGAACTAAAACAGAAGTGGTTTAATGACGCGACAGCCAGCGGTCCAGCGATGTGTCATGAACAAATCATCAGCTAATGAACCACAAGTTGTTTATATTTCAGTGTGTGATTCATGTGTGTGTGTGTGTGTATATATATATGTGTGTGTGTGTGTGTGTGTGTGTGTGTGTGTGTGTGTGTGTGTGTGTGTGTGTGTGTGTGTGTGTGTGTGTGTGTGTGTGTGTGTGTGTGTGTGTGTGTGTGTGTGTGTGTGTGTGTGTGTGTGTGTGTGTGTGTGTGTGTCAGAGTCAGAGACAGAGACAGAGCGAGTACTTGGCTCATTATTAAATATCAGAGTTCAGCTGTAGGTCCAATCAAAACAGCCTTAGGGCAACATCAGCTTAACCAGAGTCATGAGACCAGATTCACATGCACACACTCAACCCCTCCAAACACACACAACACACACACACACACACACACACACACACACACACACACACACACACACACACACACACACACACACACACACACACACCACACACACCATGTATACATCACTTCAGGGGACATTACATTGACTTACATGCATTTCCTGGAGACTTATCCTAACCTTAACCATAACCAACACATGCCTAACCCTTACCCTTACCCTAACCAAGTCTTCACCCTAAAATTAATGATTCCCCTCATGGGGACCTCCATTTTGTCCCCATAAGGGAGGCGAGTCCCCACATGTGACTGTGTAAACAGATTTAGGTGTTTTTCGCTTTTGCCATAACAACACCTGAATGGAAACGCTGAAACATATTCATCACATTGGAAAAAAGTTTTGACCCTATGAATAATATGAAAAGTTGCTGTTTTATTTTAAACTTAACAAACTAACATATTTGTTTAAGGTTTAACTGGTGCTTTCTTATCTACATTCTCCTGTTGGGCCCTCTTCTTCTGCAATGGCACCAACTCACTCTATATCTTGATGAATCGACAGCATTTCCTTTCCTGATCTTTCTCAATATTTGGTCACGATTAGCAACACATTGATACACACCTGACTATAGGTTGCCACATGACTGCTGAGGTGTTCACTTGGTTGTCGTCCAGTGTCTGGTGGTAGAGTCCATTGAGTGTTGGTGCTGGGTCATTTATATGGTCTTTGGGGTGATGCAGGTGTGTTATATCTAGGTAAATGGGTCTTGGTTAATTATTTATGTGTATCACTATGTGGTTACTGTGACTATAGAGAGATGAAGTCCCTTCCTTGTGGACAACCAGAGGACCCCCATTGTAAAAAATATAAATGGGAATCAATGGTGAGGTACTTTTTTCTTCTATAAAATTATTTTTAGACATTTCTGATTTATTTTGTGAGACAGGAAAGGCAAACACTTGCCAAACTGCAAAGAGTGTAGGTCACATGACTGCATGGAACATCATAAAATAAATCGATTGAGTGAAATATAAAATGGAGAATATAGTGGCAAATTAGCTTTTTAGATTGTCCCATTGTTTTTAAACATCTGTGAAAAGGGAGAATAAGATATATCACACAGACAGTGTCCCAGTTGATCAACCAAACATTTTTTTATTAGAAGTATTTATTTAAAAAGATTTAGGTTTGAATATGCAAATGAGGCATTCTCTTATGCTGACCCTTGTTGAATGCAAGATACATCTATGGATGCAAATAATACAGAATGTAACAAAAAACACCTAAATGTGTAGTTTTGAATTTTTCTTTCCAGCAGTCTGAGAGAAGACATGTTACACAACCAGAATTGCTCAAACGCAGAATTGAAAAGTGCATGAAAAACAATTTTTTGACAAAAAAGGAAAAAAAGCTGACTCCAGTCAAATGTGGTCACATTTAAATGTTGCAATAACCCCTAATATATTAAATAATAATATCACTTCAGGAATAAAAAACAAATATTTAAATCAAAATCAATGTGTGTCAGTCAAGAGCTCTGAATTATCCCTCCGACGCTGATGTTCTGTTAAAGAGTTTTGCATAACACACACACACACACACACACACACACACACACACACACACACACACACACACACACACACACACACACACACACACACCACACACACACACACACACACACACACACACACACACACACACACACACACACAGGAAAAGGCCACACATGACACACATGGTCCGGTGCAATCTGAGGACAAAATGTCCTGCTCCCCTCCGCCTCAATAAACGAAGCTTCCTTATGTTTCAGAGACCACTGGGGATATATTTTTCTGCTCCCTGCTCCTTCCTCTCATCTCCTTTGTAGGGTACCGCAGGAGCTGGTTTGGGTTTCTCTGATGTGTGTGTGTGTGTGTGTGTGTGTGTGTGTGTGTGTGTGTGTGTGTGTGTGTGTGTGTGTGTGTGTGCGTGTGTGTGTGTGTGTGTGTGTGTGTGTGTGTGTGTGTGTGTGTGTGTGTGTGTGTGTGTGTGTGTGTGTGTGTGTGTGTGTGTGTGTGTGTAGCAGGGAGGGGGAGACTGAAGCAGGCAGGGGGATGTCGTTCTTACAGTCTCTCCATTTTGGGATCAGGACAGGAAGTGGGCTCAACAGAGGAAACATGACCTGTCTCTCCCTCTTCCCTCCCTCTATCCTCTTACTTTTCTCTTGTATGCTCTCTTCCGCCCTTTGTCTGTCCCTCCCCCAGTCTCTGCCTCCCCATTCACATGCTCCGTTCTGGCTTTTTTTTGGGTTGCACAGATCCCGTTTACTCACATGTGTTAGTGCGGTGGGTGTAGATCTTGAATTACGTTCTACACTCTTGCTGTGTAAATAAATGTTAACCGGTGATTTCTGAAACACTGAAACTCTGCTCTAGTTGTTTCTGCGCTCCCTCCCTCTCTCTGGAGACCAGCAGTCTGTTATGTATCAGAGCTCCTCTGATTAAAAGCCAAAGCAAAGGTCAGACTCTGCTGGTAACGGAGATATCGCCCGACTTCAGCTTCACTGTTATGCCCAGCGGTCTGATAGGAGCCTCATATTACATTACGTGCAATGAAACCTCCAGGATATACATGAGTATTACATTACTACTTATCAACTCAGTGCTTTTTGGATTTGCAAGAGGGATTCTCGTGTTCATGAATCAGCCCCAGGACATTAGGAAAACATACTGGAATGTTTTTTCTCTTTATAAACTTAAATCAATTGATTTCAATCCCGCTCCCTTAAAGTCCCCCTCTATCTTCTCATCTTTCCATCACTTTTCACTTTCCAACACAGAAGGTCTTGACCTCTTGCTTTGCTGCACACACACTCAAACGAACACAGACACACACTGAGAGAATAAAGAAACAGCATGTGAGCAAACGGCAGTGTATTTCACCACAGAGCACAGAGCCAAGGCACTGGGAAACAACAACAAAACACAAAAGCAGAAGACCTCCCTCTCCTCTTCCTGCTCGCCTTTTAAAAGTTTGCCGTCTGTTTATTTGTTCCATTTTCCCAGACGTTTTCCTTTCTGGTTGTTTTCTCTAGGACACATCCAGTGCAATGACGACGCTTAAAAAAACTTGTGTGAGGGGAAAGGTTAGTTAACGACAAATGTTACAGCAACGTTACAGTTACAGTGATACTGTTAGACAGAGTGGTTTGTATTGAAAGGTGACCACGATACACAGTGCCAAATACTAACAGTATTCTATGTACAAAATGTATGAACATGCATCAAAAAGGGCCTTAAGTCACTATGCAAACACATGACACAGTTTAATACAGTATTATAATAAGGCTTGTGGAAGTGCTCATGATTCCCGTCATTCCCCTTGAAGCTGTTTGGACTTTATACCCGGGGGGGGGGGGGGGGGGGGGGGGGGGGCGGGGCACCCCAGCTGTGTCCTGCTGCTGCGTACCAAACCAGGCCAATGTTGGGAGTCAGATCAACATTCCCATTTTATAGATTCTCCACTTTAAAACATGTTTTGATTCTAATAAGTTTGTGGTTTGCTGGCAGGTAACCATTTAAAGCACATTACAGGACATCTGAGACCAAGTCTGGTCAACAGTTTTACCACCATCATAAATCAGTGCGCTTGGTATATTAAACTGCAAATAACCATCGTAACAGTACTTTTCTTTATGCTACATTACCTGTCACTGGTATAAACCAGGAAGCAACTAGTGATTATTAACCCCATTGTTTTTTAGTTAGTTTTGTTTGCCTGGTAAACCACAGGATAACTGAAAAACTACAGTTCATGAAGCTTGGAGGATGGACGAAGAATGGGCCAAAGATGACCCATTACATTCTGTAAGGATACACACATTATTTCTCACTAATAGAAATGGCCTTGGAGGACGTCTGCGTGCTCTGAGTGACCTTGTAGTTTTCATTAGTGATTCATCTAGTGGTTTTAGATTAAATGATTTATAATTTGGTCTTTAAATCTGCAGTGTTGGCCACCTTGGGGCATAGCAACAAGCTGTAAACACAACATTTAACACTCACTCAATGGCCAGGTTATTAGATACCTGCTTTTATACTGGAGTAATGTCATTTGCGCCTACAACAGCCTAAATTAAACCAGGTTTCATGTGGAAATGTTTAAGGTTTGACGTGTGAAAGCGTTAAGAGATGCTGCTCCTTATCAGTTTGAACCAGTCTGTCTATTCTCATCTTACCTCTCTCATTTAAGCCTTGTTTATACTATGAACACACTAAAAGGCGTGAATGCTCAGCGTGTTGTCCAAAACCCGACAGAATGTACAAACAGAATATTATTTAAGTTCACCGGCTAAATGCTCATTGTGTCTGCTGTTTGGTGATGGACTGGTCGTTTAAACTGGGTGAATCAGAGGGTTTTCTCGCTGAAAACAGCTGCCTATTTATTTGGTCTGGTTTGTCTCACTCGTTTCGTGCCAGTTCTTTAGATAGACTTCCTTCCCAGACAGAGCTACAGAAGTCCAAAATGGCCGCAGCATGGGAATAAGGTCAGTTACAGTTCACCCTCTGCTGTTCCCGTCACGTTCTCAGGACAAAGGAACGAGCAGTGTAACCGTACACCAACACTGTCTTGTAAATGGCATACTTATTTTACACCTCAAGTTACATCTAGGCTATTATGGTATATCTAATGCGATGTTGGTTGGAAACAGAAGAAAGTTGGAATAGAGATGAACCATAATTCATGATATGGAGCTGTGTGTGTGTGAGAAGAGTCTCTCATTTAAACGTCTACTGTTTCTGCTGCAGAGGGGGGGAAGAACAATCTGTGTATTGTGCAGAGGAGAGGAGAGTTATGGGTTAGGAGGGATAAGACTTGTTATCTGCAGCTGTTCATGCCTTGTATGATGGCGCGTGGGGGGTTAATAAACACAAGCAGGGAAGGAGAGGTAAAGATAGATAGCACAGGAGAGAGCAGGAAGCATGATAGAGAATTATCTCTTTCCTCTGTTTAAGGTCAATGACAGAAACACTTGTGCAACCTTATCACATAACACAGCATATGACCAGTCTGACCCCAAACCCTCACCCTCCTCCGCGTCACGTGCACATCAGGACAAGGCATCCTTCAGCTCGCTCTAAACTTTCCTAAATCTGTCTGTCTCTCCTCTCTCTTCCCTCCGGCTTCTCGCTCACACAGCTTCATCCAGATACAACCGGCAGCAGTCTGACTTTTAGGTTTAGTGACAGGGCTGTCATTATATATACACAAATATATACATCTAAGAAAAAATAACACTTTCAGTGCTCATGGCATGTAGTTGGTGTAGTCCATATTTTTCTCTTTTTTTAAACATGTTGGCAACACTTTCCTGACACCCATGTCTTTAAATCAAAATCTGCTTATAGCTTTTTATAATTATAGTTTTAAGCACTCAAACATATTCATAATGCTTTATATCAATACGCATAGACCATAAGTTCATTATAATATTTCATATTTTCCGTTTACTGACCTTTCATTGCAAGGAGCAACGTTTATTATAATTAACCTAGTTGAAATATATTTATAATGCATTTTAATCACTGTGATAATGAATTATAATACAATAAGTAACTTTTAGTGGTCATTGCTTGCTTTAAATTATACTTGACATCATGGTTTATTATATTTCCTTATTCTGTGATATTGTTAAAAAGCATTCTGCATATTTATGAGTGTTTATAAGTATGATCATATCAGATTATTATTCATTACAGTATATATTTATAACGCAATATAAACATGGGCTTTATAGAAAGTGCTACCAACATCTTCTAAGCTGTGTATAAAGGCGGGAACACTTGAGAGCTACAACAGGTCGGCTGCCTTTCCGGCATACATACATTTATACAGGTTAAATGCAGGGTCTTGTCCCCTACGACCCTCACAGTTTCCACAGGGAAGGCCAAGAGGTCCAGAGTCACCTCGGGGCTCCACAGGTTCAGAGTTCAGTTCGATCCACAGACTGCTCCACAGGTCAGTGTTAATCAGCACCTAGGGGCCAGGGGGGTCCTCCAGGCCTGGATGCATGGCTGGTTTCACAGTTTACAGTCAGTGTGAAGGTCACTGCAGCATTATATCTTTGAGGTTTTCCTGCAGGATGGTGTCCTTGACAGCGTGAAAGACAAAGCGGATATTTTCTGTGTCTATCGCAGTGGTGAAGTGATGGAAGAGCGGCTTCCCCCGGTTCCTCCTCTTACGGCTGAACGACTGCACCAGGAACGCCTGGAAGGAGCAGAGCAGGGAAAACATATTAACAAGTTTCAGTGTACCTTTTACTGTAGGCTTTTCTTAGACATTGTGCATATGAAAAACCTGTTACTGCATAAGACACAACTGGTTTCCACAGTTGGTTTGGGGAAGTCAATCTCTTGGCTGAGTAAACTGTATTCTAATCATGCTTTTTACATGTATGCAGACAAAGACTAATAATCAATGTGGGGTGGCAGATGAAAGAAAAGATTATTAAAAGTAGCTATAAAACCTTCAGAATATTTCCATTCAATTAAATTACAATATCCAAGTTTCCAGAGCTTAAGGTCAATCCAGGCCATGACCTGATTCAACACAGGTGTACAGCGGACCAGGGGCCTCAATTTAAAAACATCAGAGAGAATACACACTGAAGGAATTCTCAGGGAAGGGCGTGTGGCGCAGTGGGGTAATGCGCTGATCTTCGAATCAGAGAATAGCAAGTTCGAGTCCCACTACAGTCAGCATGTCGTCGTGTCCCTGGGCAAGACACTTCACCCCAAATTGCCCCTGTGGGGACTATCCACAGTATTGAGTATGTAAGTCGATTTGGATAAAAGCATCTAACAAGTAGGGATGGGTATCGATTCCGATTCCGGTTCTGCTTATTGATTCCGGTTCTTTTCGATTCCAAAATTGTAAAAGAAAGAGGTCAAACGTTTAGATAACAAAAATATCTTTATTCTTTTAAGCTTTAACTGACATTTTTACAAATAAAAAATATACATGCAATACAAATGTATTGCACAATAGCTGTGCTTTATTTTAACTGAGCTATGCCTGTGGCAAGCTATTAACAGGCATTGCACTGTGCCTTGTCTTTTTATTTTTTAGTGTAGTGGAGCCTCACTTCAGAGCGTTTACCACAATCCATCTTTGGTGTTATGAAGTGACTGAGCTCGTGAACTGTCTACGGGAGGGCGGGGGGAGCCTCGCTGCGGGGCAACTGTGGACCTCTGTCGCCTGTCAGCGCAACTTACATGATGCCGTTATTAAGGGCGGTGCCGGACGTCAGCGTACCGAGCCGGCCGTCAACGGCGCGCTGACGACCGGCCGTTCTGTGATTCTCCAGGTCCGCCCTGTATTCCACCGGGTCACCGCGGTGCAGACGGACCCGCTGGAATACAGGGTCTACCGCGTTTAGGAACCGTTAAGCAGAACCAAAATTGTGTATTTTGTATACCCGGCATTTTCTTATCGGTTCTCATCTGGAACCGAGTTTCGGTTCCCAACCCTACTAACAAGTAACATGTAATGTAAAAATGACTGCGTATGTTCAAATGAGGAAAGAAGGAAAAAAATGTACGCCCAAATAATTCAGATTTATAAAAATGTGTTTACCCCTTCCATTGTACAATACCCTTCCTCATATCAAATAATCTATCATGTGCCATCGCTGTCCTTACTGACATTATTAGCTATTATTTTGTTTTTCAATGCATGTCAAAATTGAGTATTTGTTGTGGCAAATTGTCTTTATTTGTTGACAGAACAAGCAAAAGGCTGCAGTGGTCCGCCACTTGATTGGCAAGTGTGCATGCTCATTTGAATTGATGTGTATTCGTGCATTAAGCATTGGTTTATTAACAGAAGGAGGAAGGTAAGGAGCCACAATGACAAAACGTAGTTTGGATCCTCATACTGCATTACTAAAAGCCTCTGTGATGTCAGTGTGTTTGTGTACCTGAACGTCCTCTAGCCTCCGCGTGTCTCCCCTGTAGTCGGGGAAATGCTTGCGGATATCCACCTTGCGAATCTTTTCCACCAGCAGGTCTGTTTTGTTGAGGAAGAGGATGATGGACACGTTGAGGAAAAGCTTGTTGTTGACAATTGTCTCAAAGATATTCATGCTCTCGACCAGACGGTTTGTCCTTCGATCCTCCATCAAGACCTGCAGACACACACACACACACACACACACACACACACACACACACACACACACACACACACACACACACACACACACACACACACACACACACACACACACACACACACACACACACACACACACACACACACACACACACACACACACACACAGTGTTATCCTTTGTTTTTTTCAGGTTTTATCTGAGCACCAATTAAGGATTCAGCCGTCATCATATGACTGCTGATTTGAACGGGAGCCACGACTGAGGGAACAATCAAGTTACATCAGCCAACCACAAAGAGAGCTTTGTGCATGTCTCAAATGTCCTCTCTGATGGTTCTTGCACATGTTGTCATTCTAAAAGTCAAGCGAGTATGGATCACACTGTGTAACTCTCCTCGTTTCAACATGGTTACATGATCAGACGTGCATTAATGTTACCTGATCGTACTCTGACGATGACACCATGAAGAGTATGGATGTGATCCCGTCGAAACACTGAAACCACTTCTGCCTCTGGGACCTCTGCCCTCCGACGTCCACCATCTTGAAAGGAATCTTTTTTATGATAAAGTCATGCTCCACAATTCCTTTTGTCGCTTTTCGCGCAAACAAAATGTCCTGCTTGCTGGGGATATATTTCTGAAAAAAACCAACACATTTTATTAGAAGATGAAAGCGGGGAAGAAATAAGTAGTGCGCTTAAAATGTAACAAGTCACCCTGACTCACCATTTGACCAATACGATCCAAGTTATCCAGGAAGTATTTCACTGACTCGCTCTGCAGATACAAAGAAAAATGTTTTTCAGTCATCTAATAAGGCTGAGTCAACCCAACTTAAAAATCCCAAATCATCAAAGTAAAGCACTAAATCTCACGAATAAAAAATGTCATTTCTTGTATTTCCTTATTATTTGAATCACATTACATGGAAGCTGTCGTACTGTGGTTATTTATTTAGTAATACATCAATCGATGAATTCTGCCCAGTAAGCTACAAAGGACAGAAACCATGTGAGCAACAATAATCATATCAGTCTCATTATAATATTTGGAGCATGCTCTGGTACCACGAAGCAGAGCTGGTTTCACAGAAAACAACATGACTTAATATGTTCTTCAAGGACGTTGGTTTCCAGGACTAAGACAAGACATAACAGACATCATTAATCATTTAGTTTGACTGCGATGAGAAAAAAACCAGTCCAAAATAAAGTTCACAGAAATAAAACTCTACTGAAATGTCTCGTTTACAAAAAGAGAACAACTATTATAGACTGTTCTCTTTTCCGTTGCCTGCATGAGGACAACACCAGCAGCACACAATGAGCACAGTCAGGACAGTCTGAAGTTAAAATAAAAAATGACAATAACAGGGCTTTGGAGAAAGATACCAGGTGAAACGCTGGCAAGCTTGAAAAAAATCGGACTAAAACTACTAAAGTAGGCTTCTTTGAGATAAATCTTGAATGTCCAGACTTTAGGTGAACTAAAACTCAACTTGGTTGACTAAATGTGATATGATGTAACAAGGAAATTCGACTAGGATTAGGATTTCATTTAAAACATATGTGACAAAAGGAACAGTATTGTTAAGCTGCCTTAAAGCGAAGGATTTACCCACAGCGCAGTGAACTAAAGTGACTCAGTGACTGGATCCTTGTGTGACCCCTGATGCTATCCGTGCGTTGTCTCATAATCACATTTAGTGTGTTTGTTGCATTTCCCCACAGAAACTGCCAGGACTCTGTAGTTCCTCTCAGATCTACACAGCCTTCTCTGTCTTTTATGCCTTATTTAGTTGTTCTGGCCAAATAACTCCCCTCTCATCAAGCGTGTTATCTCTTCCAACAAGATATGTTTTCATCTCTGCTTTTGAGAAAGACGCTCTAAAACTGATCAGATTTGACACAAGAGGAATAGCATGAACTATTGAAGAACTCATTTTTATTTTGAAGCAGATCCTAAACACAGGGCGAATACAAATCATGCTTCACTTTTGTTATGTGTCAGACCAATCTAAAATAAATCTAAAAGGATAATTCATGTTAAAGTCAGAACAAGAAATGTTTCTGTTATTTAACTGGAGTCTGAGGAGCATTGGCCTTGGCGGAGGTCTGCGCTCTTATAGTGTCATTAAAAGTTTTATTGAAAAAGCTCTGATTAACCCGCTGTGCCCTACGTATCCGGCACTAAATAGCATGCAGTCAGAGTTAGCTCCTAGCTGGGGAACAAAGTGAAGCATTGGGCACCTAAAGACAGATGTGAGAAGTAAAAGAAAAACTAATTTGACAACAATTCCTTGATTGAGCAATAGTGTGGTTTAACTGCAGTTTTTCTGTAATGGTTTGCACAACTGGAGAACATTTTGAAGAGGCTGCTAATTGATTTCCACACCGTCCAGAAATCAATGGTAACCAGTGGGCGTCTGAAACAGCAGCAGAGGTTTGTCTAAAGCACAGCGCAATAATTATAAAATGGTTTTCAGGGAAGTTAAGTAATTTGCTGTAAATGGGCTGAAACTGAAACATTTGTTTTGTGATTGTTCTTTATACTTGTGATTTCTGACAACACTTTAAAGCTGAATCTCCCTCTCTCTTGCGTTTAGACACATCCAGCAGGAAACAGCTGTGTGTGTGAAAACAGTGGAGAGAGACATGGGGGAGGGAGGGATTAGCGAGTCAGACAGGACCTAGTTACAAAGTCACACACACACACACACATACACATACTTGGGCCTAACTACAATACAGCATTATTCCTCTATGAACCTCAAACCTTGCAGATTTTCGTCACACTGATCCAACTCAGTTAAATTAATCTCTGTCGGTCTGACATGATGCGTAACAACCAGGAAACGTGACCCCTGTATGAGTGAGATGTGACCCCCTGACCTCGCGCCGCTGACCTACAGTGTCACAGCAATAAGAAACACAAAGCCGGCCGCTCTGATTGGTTCAGCTGGACATGAACAGGAGGAGGGGCTTGATGTTGGGAAAAGCAGGGAGAGGGGAATTCCCAGAGATGAAGGGATACGCAAACAGAGAGAGAGAGACAGAGAATCACACGTGAGCAGACACACAAACACACACACGAACACGCAAACACAGCTCATTTCCACAGATGCTTTGCCATCAGCAGAAATGAAACAGCCGATGAATAAATCTAAATAATAAAGCTAAATATCAAAATGAATAAATGTTATGAGGCTACAGATGAGTTTTAGGTCCTTGTAATGCATATCTACGACTTGTAAAACTAAAATATAGCTCTCTCCCTGTGTTAGTGTGTGTGTGTGTGTTTTGTTCTAGATTTGTGTGTGAGTGTGTGTGGTTGAGTAAGGCAAGAGGAATGTCTCCATTCATGGCGTGTATGGGCAGATTAGGGGCTTTATTACAGCAAAGACCTGAATAAGCTCACATTCTGCAGTGTGTGTGTGTGTGTGTGTGTGTGTGTGTGTGTGTGTGTGTGTGTGTGTGTGTGTGTGTATGTTCACAGGTATATGTTTGCCACTTCTATGTGACTGGGTTGCCACATTTGTTTTACTACTTCAGCTTATCACTACAAACCGCAATTATATATGTACTGCCTAAGTATAGACAATTATCATCTTGGGCTGTAACTAATGATTGTTTTTATTATCATCAATGAATCTGCACATTAGGAATAAAAGTCAAAGACGACATTAATTGCGTTTAAATTCCTTTGTCAGGATAACCAAAAGTCCTAACCTATAACCTTCCAATATATTGAAGTTATTAACGGATTATCTCATCCAAAACGTACAACACCACGTATATGTCTACTGTTTCAGCCAATATCTAACAGTTTATAGACCAACGATTAATCAATAAGTCTGGAAAATTATCGGCAAATGAATCGATAATGAAAATAATCGTTGCAGTCCTGCATGTGATATACATGTTTGGCTATCCTGCACATAAGCAAACACTCACATGAGTATGCTTGAAAAGAGGAACAGCAAAAAGGGAAACACAACACCCAGAGACACTTAAAAAAAGTATTTCCTTTCTGTAAACACGTAGATTAAGTTACATACGTCAATGTTAACCTATAAAGTACAGCAGCAGAGACTGCCAGGTTGAAATGTTATATAGTGGACAATGTGTGTGTGTGTGTGTGCCCAGCATGTGTGTGTGTGTGTGTGTGTGTGTGTGTGTGTGTGTGTGTGCCCAGCATGTGTGTGTGTGTGTGCCCAACATGTGTTTATGCATTTATGGCCTCTTTACATCTTAGCAGGGCTTCACCGTCTAAACTCTTTATTCAGGATGTGTGCGCTGCCGAAGAGAACAGCAACAGTTTACCGTCACAGCGTGATATACAGCCTTGTTGTTGTCACGCAGAAGAGGTTTTTGGTGTTTATGTCCTATATCAAACTGCGTGTTATCTGGGTCTGGTGGGAACACAGAACAAGTAAACAAAATCCTTGCTCTGAGTTTGTTTTTCTCTTCCACTATCTCCACTTCTCCCTAACTGCTCTTCTCTACTTTCCACTCCCTCTCTTCAGGCTCCCTGGGAAAAGCTGACTGTGGTATCCCAGGAAAACCTCAGAGAGTGGAGAGAGAAGGGGGGCGGGGGTGGTGAGCGTCTAACTCAGCACATTTACTCCACAGAAGACATTTTGGTTTTCTTACTTTGAAAATAGTTAAGGCTGATGTTATTATGTATTTCTCCTATAAGCAAAAAATACCATTATAACAACAAGAGACCAACATCTCAATGTCTTTACTGTGACACTCAGCCCCCGAGCACATTTTCTTCTGGAGTTGTACATCTTTCAACTTGACTGTGGGGAATCAATGAGCCTCATTCACCAACTAATCCTAAGAAGAAATGTCTACTTAAAACTCAATTATCAGCATCAAAGGGCACGTGCTTTAGATCTACGAGTACAATGGGATACTCATAGATACACAGGTACGAACAGTTCTCAAGTTTAAGTCGTGAGTCTCATAAAAGCTGTTCTTAAGACTTTTCTCTTGAACACATTAAAAGAAAAAACGTAGCCCATTGCATATCAAGGCAAACTTTCAATTGCTTTCAAAATAAAGCTAATGTTATATAAATGAAATAAAAAAGGTAAACACAGAAAGTAGCCCCTGGGTTAGCCATCATGTCTGTAAGTGCATAACGATGTCTGGTAAGTGCATAACGATGTGTTCAGGGACAATTTGCCATCTGATCCAACAGCTGCCTGTTCATCCGCACATGCCGCTGCGTGTACATGCTGTGGATTTAGTTGATGTGCATTCTGGAGAAGTAGTGGTTCATGACAGAAGGTTTTTTATCATTATTATGTGCACTAGCTAGTTAAAGCGAGGCTTGTGCCACTAGCTGTAGTCCCGTTGCCTGAATTTAAACAAAAAAGGATAGCATTTCCGACTTGTTTCAGTTCAGTTTCTTGTTGGTTTTAGTCATAGAAATAGAATAGAGTAGAATAAATGTCCCCATTTAAATCAACATAACAGGATGGGCAGAGCTGCGGCTATTTTGTTGTGTAGTGTTGCTATTGCAAAGAATCATCAGGTCTGATCTCCCCCCTAAGCCCTGACCCTCCTGGTCTCAACCGACGTCACCTAAAAAGTGGCTGACTGTGAAAGGCCAAAGGGCTCAAATGATATAAATAGCAACGGCACAGCACTTTGCAGCAACATCTCACTCTACCTTGACGACAAAACATGTAGTAAACAATTGCAGAAGTTGCAGAATAAACCAGGTGTCTCATATACAGTAGCCTTTGCTTTTTCATGTGTTTATTAATGCACTCTTAAATCCTTATGTAAATCTAGTGCTTCTGAGGACATGTTTACATGCCAGTTTGAACAACAACATGCCATCTTCTTTGTTTACCTTTATTCAAGTGGTTTAAATGTCAAAAGTAATGTGTTTTGGGGGATTTCCCAAGGCAATGTGGGCAGAACTGAGGACTTACGGGAAGAGTTCAGAAATAGCTCAAACATGGACAGTCGCACAGCCCTGAGCCCTCATGGGTTTTCAGATAACACGCCTCAAAGTCCGTAAGTGGGAAGATTGGGATCGGCCCTGTTTGTTGTAGCGGGCTAAATTATAAACCGATTTGCGCCAGGCAGGATTCACTGAGGTGGGATTTAACGACCAAACAAGAAGTAGTACAATGACGGGGAGATTTCAGTAGAGATTTGAGCGTTGGCTAATACACAAGAAACAATACATGTCTATGATAATAAAAAAAGAGATGTACTTTATTGGAAACACACTTGGATTTTCTTTTGTAAGGAATCGGATCAAAGGCCCAGGCTACACGATGACGACAAAGCGCTAAATGCATCACTGTGTGGAAAGCAGGTGGAAAACAAAGTTCTTCATAGTGAGTGTGACTTTCAGGCCCTACTAAGGTGACTTAAATACAACAACAATCGCCATTTTCTTATTGAACTCGACAAATTACAACAGTTTAATTTCTGTTCTACTCTTCGTCTCTTCCTGCTGTTTGAGTGTTTTCATGGAATTTGTTGACAATACCAAAGTACAGAATATCAACATCCTTATCGCCAAGCCAGTGCGATGTCTGCAAGTCTGAGCAGCCCAACAGGCTTTATCACACAGCGACTCCACCGAGGCAGTCTGACCCAAAGCTGTGCACTGACATCTCACACACACTTACAGTATGTTAAGTGAGAGCGAGACGGAAGTGGCTTCTGTCTGACTCCAGATAGTTGTATCACTGATAAATGTGTAACAAGGCTAAAGGTCAAATATACAGCTCTAAACAGAGAGGAGAGGCGCTCTGTCACTTCCAATAAAGAGCAGAATAAACTCGCCAATACAAACCGCAGCGGCAACAGAGCAGCTGGTAGCGCCGGCGCTGTGAGACATTCGCCGTGTTGACAATGCGGTTAATGATCGTTCAAGTGTCATTAAAAGTCTGTCTGGCCCTTCACGGCATGTTTGTAGACACTTATAGAGTTCCTTGTAAAACAGAGGAGTTCTCCAGCTGTTCTGTTGTTCACAAATGATCTTTAAATTACAGTAAGTGGTTTACTGCTTTAAACAAGTCTCAGTTTCTCTGGTTCGCAGCAGAGAAAGAAACGAGCGTATACATTTGACAAGAGACGATCCCATGTTACACTTTCTAGACATGGACATTTTTACATGTTATTATTCAGCCTTTCCATATTCCTTTAATCCAACATTGCTTGGTTTTTGGCCTTTACATAATCACATGGAGTCCTTTTTCTGGCACTCTTCTATTCCCTTTACTTTTTTTGTTTCAACCAACTCCTGAGAGAAATATCCAACTTTTAATTGTTGTTTGCTACACCATGTTCAGTTGTTGTCTGTCTGTTGTTTGTTTGGTGCTTGGCAAGCTGTGTACAGCCAGGGTTTAGAGCCTTGTGCTCAAAGTGAACCCAAAAAAACCTAATATTACAAGCTGTAAAACCAGACGAATGAGCTAAAAGAGTCGAACCACAGATACGGTGATAATTCTTTGTGGGTTTTTCTCTTCAAGCAACCCCATTCATGTACACATAGTAGGTCAATCCATTGTTAATACAAAATATGGATTGCCACAGCTTTGAGGCTACACTGACTCAATATTAAAAACACTTGTCTTACTGGTCTAAATGCCATTCTATCAAATCCTGTTTTAAAAGATACTTTTCCTTGTACTGCTTTATTTTCCCATCTATTCAACATGACTAGTTATACAATAAAAGGAAGGTCAGTGATGTGTACAGCCTACTGGTTTTGATCCGCATGTGTTTAATAAATTAGAGTTAAAAGGGAACAAGTATTTCACTGTAATTTACGAGCCGATTAAGGTTGTGTTTGGTGCAATGTGGCGTGGCAGATGTAACTCCACAGGGCTCCACTTCACCGGCTCCATTTCCAGTCAAGAGAAAAATGATTACATATTTGGAAAGTCACCAAACACAAAGAACATGAGCAAGGGGAAGTTAGACAGAAAACAATAAATATTCCCACAGGCTTCGCTCTGTGCACTGCTTTTTCACTGACTTCTTTCTTTAGTTGACAGGTAAAAACATTTCAGATAATATCCAGTTACTTCCTGAAGCTATGAGCATGTCAGTAGGTATTAGCCATAGACTGTATATGGTATTAGCTTTGTGACTCCTGGCTGTAGTAAATCAGTGACTGTGCAGATATCTGCGCCTCTAGACTGCTGACGTCCCTGAAGTGAAATATTTATGGAACTGAGAGTAAGAACTGGTAAACATACACAGTGCAAGGTTTTTATTAAAGGTTATTTTTTAGGCACTTTTTCTCAATTTGACAGCTCACCACATTGTAAGGAAGAATGGAGAAAAAAGGATTGGTGAGAACGATCCCATATTCTGTTACAGGATGTTATGTGTGGGAGGAAGATTCAATGTGAAGAATCAGATCAGCCAGTGAGTAACCAATGACTGATCATTGCTCCAACTCAGTGTGTGAACTGGAGACAGTCATGGGAGCTTTTAAATAAATAAATACATGCATTTTTGGCCTGCTATGAAGAGTGATTGAATCCTTTAGACTGCTGCATGAGTACTTTAAGGACTTCATAATGTTTAAGGATAGTTTATTTTTGGTTACATTTGTATTGTTAGCACAGGCAGATGATCTACCTCAAGGTATCAGCAAATGCTTCAACCTTTGTAATGGAGTGTCAATACAAGATTTGTCATTTATGGATATGTAATAATTAATAATTAATAATTAATAATTAATAATTCCTTACATTTATTATAGCGCTTTATCAATGACTCAAAGCGCTTTACATATACACACATTACACATATATGATACATGCAATGGTCAAATACTGTGGACAATACCCACAGGAGCAAGTGACTGAATCATAAAATAAAATATCAGTTTCGAGGGAAATATATCTTTAAAGTGCCAGAGGTATTCATCCTTAACAAGCAGCTTATTGAGTGCTGCCAAAACTTTATTATAAAATCTACTGTAGGATTCTGAAATTTGAAATGTGTAAAATCTAAGCGAATCTAAAATGTTTCCATTAGATGAAATGTTGCAGCAGTACCAGCCTTTGGTTTAAATTCCACTTAGTGTAAACATCAACAAAGACTTGATACAAACTATATAAACAACCTTGAAGCTACATCAGAGGAAATGAAAGAGGAAACGGTTTGTTACAGGATTAATCTACTCACCAGTTGGAACTCAGAGCGCCGTGCGTAGGCCTCCTGTATGCCGGTGTCCGTCCAGAGTGCGTTCAGTGCCATCACGTAAAGCTGAAACTCACTTGACTCGACCCCCGAGCCGCCCACTCGTCCCTCCCACGACATCACCAGCATGCCCTGCTTCTCGTTCTCGCAGCTCTGCCAGCCGATGCCCAGCTTGTCCCGGGCGTCTACCAGCACGCGCATGCCCTGCAGAAACACAGCGTGAACATGAGCCTGAATGCGGTCAAGTGGAGTAACAGCTGCTTTTTTCTAATGTCAGCAATATTGTACAAATATTTCCTGACCACACAGAGGAAATAAAAAACCATACTGCATGAGCTGCTTCCAGGGGAAACATGTCAACACAGAGTCTAGTGTTTCTGGTAAACATGGAGTAACTTTAACAGGGCAGCACATATGTCAAACACACACACACACACACACACACACACACACACACACTCTCAAACATATGCGTGTGTGGCTGCTGGTGGTTTTCTGAATAGAGCCATGTGGACTGATCTGTGTGGGAGGTCTAACCATCACACAGAGACAGATATTCCGTTTTTTGTATCTGTGTCTCCATTTATCTCTTTATAGTTTTATTAGACTCTCTTTGAATCCATTACTTTGAAATGTTCCAATTCAGCATGTATTTATCTGACAGCAGACTTTTATTTTGTGGTACTATTTGTGTTACTCACTACATCTTGTCTTTTTATTTCATCCATTGTGTTCCTTATCTTTTACCTTCTTACATTTCTAAGACTTAACAATTGACTCCATGTGAAGCATTTTTCTGAGCATCTCAAAGTCCAGAATCTGCCTTGTTATTGAAGCATGATTGCTTCATTTATTGATTGAAACAACAGAACATTATCAGTGAGGTATGAAGCGTTTCAAAGGTCACAGTAGGTTAAGGGATTTGTGTGTGTGTGTGTGTGTGGATGACTCATGACTGCCTGCCCTTTGTGCAATACTCAAGTCTAGTCAAGTTTGTTTGAACAGCTTAATATTGCATTCTTGAGGCTTAACAGGCCCACAACATGAACACAGCTGGAAAATTAGCTCCAACCTTGTTTATACAAAGTTCAAAGGGAGATTTCCCCCTAAACGTGTAAGAAAAAATAAAAGGAAGATGTGACACTTTATAGATGTAATCACTCATGCAGCTACTATGTGTGGGTGCAGTCTGACTGGGGTGCTCCTTTGTGACTGACTAGTGCATTTTCAACTCTGTCCCTCATTTCAAACTTCTCTTTTAAGAATTGGGGGTTTTGTTATTACAGGAGTGAGTAAGACTGACACACTGACTAGTCTTCAACATAAAGACACACATGTAATCTGACACGACATTCGGATCGAACAGCAGCATGTTCTGCAGTAAAATCACTAACGGAGTCACTGTGAGTGGGTTTTGAGTCACATCCTGTATCTGTCTGGGAGCCAACCTGAGATTTATCAAATTACTAATCTGGGTTTATGTTGCATAAATCCTCTAAAGAGTTGTTGTGTCCTTTCCTGTATATCCGCATGTTTGTCTGTGTTCCTGCTGCTTAGCCAACCTGTCCATCCACATCGTGGTCTCTAGTTATTCAGTAACTGTGTCCACATTCAGCATGTCAAATACCAGTGATGGAAAGTAACCAATTGCATCTAGTTGACTGAACTTTATAGACATTTTGGGTTAGTTGTATTTTACATTTTATGTGTATTTCCATGTTATGCTTTTTTCTTCTTCTACTCTACTACATTTTGGAAGCAACTTTTGTTCTTTTTACTGCACTCCTGGCAAAACAACACATTTAAAGAGATGACCTTGACCTCTTCGAGAAACTGGGATGGACATTCTTCACTATTTTGGGACATTTTATAGACCAAACATTTCCTAATCCTGAACTTTAGTATTGCTAATTTTACCCAAGTAAAATATCAGAATACTTCTTCCAACACTGCCAAATGGATCACAAATATAACAAGTAAAATAGGGGATTCAATTCTAGTGTTTGGACCTTTATCGCATTATTTTCCCTCCACCCTCAAAAAGAAGCCTCCAAATTGTTTGCAAGAAGTGACAGCCTTATTTTGATAACATTTGGAAGTGAATAAAGTAAGCACCTTTCTATGCAGAAATGTGAGCTGGTCATTCTTTTAATTGTTTCGGTGATCCTAGTCTATTTAGTCGGAAAAGTATCACATTGCCAATTCAATAACCAAACTCCTATTGTAAAATTAAGGATGATTTACCTTGAACCTAGATAACCTTTCATACCGAAACTACGTTGGTGATGACGAGGACTTACTGGTGATAAACATGAAAAAGTTTGACATTTTAACAAGCTGATAAGGACCATGCTAATGCCCCATTAGTTTGTGAGGCTGTAGGTTATCTCTAAAGGACACACCCACTGGACTGAGTCCTTTGAAGGATGAAACCTCTGTCTGCAGTGTTACAGATCAAATGTGAACCAAATGTAAAAAAAAGTGTTTCAACTTAAAGGGCCACATTCAAAGGTGGAGTGGACAGCAGGCCTCAATGGAGTGGGCAGACATTTTTATAGTGCACATTATTATTCACATGAAAAGCGACAGAAACAGTTGTGGCCAGATGAATAAGATAGCTAGACAGACAACAGACCAGCTCTTGGTATTTGTGTGTAACTGGCCCTCAACAGTATCTCCCACATGGGGCAAAAGAAACATAAAAATATGATGTCTGAACTGAAGACATGACATGGTCAATGGCACTATTGGCCGGCAGCTAGATGGGTCTAAAAATAACTCTGTTCCGGTAACCAGCGGCCCTTTCCCCTGCATTGTAACAAGAAAGCATTAGAAGTTATTTAGCTTTACAATTCATAACAAAACATTTAACATTCTAATTGTGACCCCAACGTTTTTGAAGATGCCAAATATGCTGAATTTCGGGCTTCAATTATCTAAGTTAATAAAGCATTTCCCTCATGTGACACTGATGATAATTGACCAACCTTGAAGCTAGAAAAACACTTGGTTTAGAAGTAATGATAGGGAAACAAGGACAATCACAGAAATAGAAAAAAGGATAAAACCTGTTTATGGAAAAATGTCAAACCATTGTGTGCCTTATTTAGAAATGGATTAATTAATAACACCAACAATTGTCTATTTTGAGTGTTTATGTTATGTTCTACCAAAACGTACAGCTTGTAAATCATTAGATATCCAGACTGTTCATCAAACCTACACTTGATGTACCAGGCTTGACAGAGGTACCCTAGCAGCAGTTTTTAGTTTCACTTTAACTTGTGAGAATATCCAGTTTGAGTATTCAAGGATTAGATGAGACTTAACCATTATTGGAGGTATAATTAACAAGAAGGAAGTGGCGGGACCACACATGAACTCAGCCGCTATGTTATTTATTCATTTGTATCTAATTGTGCAACACACCTGTGTATTTTCTTTCAGCTTTGTCCCTCCTTAACCGTCTGCTTTGTTCACTACCTATCACTATCATTAGGTTCCCATGCAGAGAGAGGTCCTCTACACCCTGTAGGTGAGGCTGATCCTGATACTATTGTTCAGGACAGGTAACATCCCACCTAATATACAATGCTCAGATTTACCAATGGAAACATGTCCAATATATGGTGTCATAGTATAGGATGATGCACCAATGATTAATGCAGTATGTCTAAGCCATTTTTACATCCAATAAAATCTACTGTGTATTCTCAATGCGATTTACTACAACTAATTCCTGTATCTCCTCCTTGAGACCTGTCCTAAAGTTGTTGTTGATTTTATCTCTTTTTGCAACATCCCATCATAGTTGACTGAAAGTAATACAAGATGAACTCGGAAGTTAATAGAATAATTGTTAATGAAAATAAATGTTACTTGCAAGCTTCTAATATTGTGTCATTTGTAAAAGATGGGAGGACCAATAAACAGTGTCGTGGTGGGTCAAAAATACCAGGCATGTAGTATCATGTTGCATTTGAGATCATGCCTTTGTCAAAACTACAGCATTTCCAATCATGTGATTTCTTACAATATTTGCCTGCTCGTCATCATGCATTGTGTTTTTCAGGAAGTTGAGTGTTGGTGAATTTTGTTTTTGTTTGGAGGAGGGTTGGGGGGGGTGCTGTTCATGATTTGGCCCGAGACAGCACCACCACTGTATGCTGGTATTCAGGGAAGGGTATGGAGTACTGCCTCTGCTGTGTAGAATGTTCTTATCATCCCTGTCTAGGCTGTGTGGCAATCAGGGCGGATGTGCTCATCCCTCAGGAATAGTCTGGTATTGTTAGCTGGTCAAGGAGGCCCAGCTATGACAGCAAACAAAGGGAGAGAGCGCACACACACACACACTTCAGGATACAAAATATGTACTCTGTCAACAAACCTCTGTATGTTTGAGTGAGTACATGTGTGTGAGCCTCAACGTTTGGGTGAAAACGTCAATATCAGGACTGCAAATAATGATTATTTCCAATACTGGTTAAACTGCTGACTATTCTCTAATTTGGTTTGGAGAATCTTGGCAATGTTTCCTTGACAAACTACCTAAATAATGAAATGATCAATGAATTGACTAACAGTTGAGTTCCAGTCAATATACCTCCAAAGACTAATTGAATAGCCTAATCTGTTCTGGTCTCCAACATGTCAGTTCCTCATACATCCTTTACTTTAACTTACTTATCAAATAGATTGTTATACTCGAAGAGAGCAGAAACAAACACGATATAAACTTAAAATCAAAAAGACAAAAGCAGGAGTTGACTACACATGTGTGTGTTTAAACTTTGGACTTGGGCTGTAAAGTTTCCCTGAAGGCCCCAAGCTATTTATTTCCCATTAAACCTTGATCTTACCTTCAGTATATTCTCATAGATAGTGTCCCGGAAATCCAGAAGTGCTTTTTTATCAAACTCTTGCCCGTTAATGATGCGCATCTGTTTAAGGAATGTGGACTTTCCGCTCTCTCCGGCCCCGAGCAGGAGGATCTTCACCAGCCGGCGGACGGCTCTCCTCTCCCGGGCCAGCATCGCGTCTATCTCCCGGCTCCTGCGCCTCGCCTCCCGCTCCTGCGCCGCGTCCCTCTCCCGGCTCCCCTCCTTGCTGCTGCCCGGGTCCCGGCTGGCCTCGGCCGGGAGCAGGCAGCGGCTCAGGGTCCGGACAACTCCCGACATGGCGAGTCGTGGGAAAAGTTCACCGAAACTTCAGTGGGAAAATGTTCATTATAGGATGTGACCCCTGGGGAGGAAATGACCCAATCTGGCTACATCCAGTTGATAAATAATACGTTTACAGCGGATAATTAAATAAAGTCTAGCCTACATTTAATTTTAAAGGGCGAAGCCGTTATCTAGTCTCCAACCTGCAGACAACCAGTGTCCATCTTGGTAACACCGCGCCATAAACAAAAATCTATCCGGGTAGGAGACAAAGCCGGCAAATCTTCCAAAAACTTTGAATGTTTGAGTAAGTCCCGTTCTCAAAAAGATTGAAAGCTGATGAGAAGTTGGTCCGTTTATCCGAAGCAAAACAATAGTAGGAAGACACAAACACACGGGGACAGCCTCTGCACACTCTCTCACAGCCAGTGGTTTGTGAACTTGAGCAGCAGAGCATAGCAGCTCCTCGGTGGGACGGTCTGGGGAGGGGGGCCGGGGCTCTGCCGGGGACCACCGTCAGGGGGCGGCCGAGGACACAACCGGGAGGGAGAGACACTCTGAAGCAACTGCTGACACCACCTCAGCAAGGGCCAGCAGCAAAGGGAGATATAATGTTCAGTGGTGGAAGAAGAATTAAGATATAGCCATACTGTACCATAATGTAAAAATACTTTTTACAAGTCCTGCATTCACAATCATACTTAGATAGAGAAACAAACTGAACAAATTAAACCGCAAAGGAACAGTTCTCTATTATTCAGCATATCCCATTTAAGAATAATTTGTATACTATCTGGCTGTTAACATAGTGAATCATTAATGGGATTGTGTAGCTACTTCATTTTAATGCTACAGCCAGAAAAGGTGGGGTTAATCTAAAAACTAATGGCAGAAAATGAGGGCAAAACCAACAACATAAAGTGCCAAACAAGCACATACACATGACATATATTATCAGTATCTCTACTTACCTATCAGTAAAAGGTCAAAGTTCAAGTAAAAGATTTGGATTTTACATCAGAATTTTCAATGAACACTGACTAAATGTGTGCTCTTTAAAAGAAAGGTGAATCAGACTCTGAATATGTTTTTCATCAGTAGTTTGATTTGCCACATTTTTTGCCATCTTGGAGACAAATTTGTATTCAAAAACTTACTTCATTTTTTAAAGAAATCTGACCCAACCTTAGATAAAACACTCTGCATTCTTGGTGCTCTGGCCAGGTGCCTGCAGAAGTTTTCCTTTACAAAATCCAAATAAAGTTTTTTTAATTCAGCTCATATGAAGACTGACAGAAGTTGTGAATTTAACTCTCTGTGATAGAGTATGTCTTGCTTTGCACACAGGGAATACCTATTCTGCTTTGTTTCATGTCACAGTAAGTAAAGGTGAAAACAATAACATTGTTGATGGCTTAATTTCCTTTAGCTGTCAAATAATGGTTATAAAGTATGACCGTTTTAATTTTTATATAGACATTTTTATTCATTGGGATAAACCCCTTGAGATGCACCATCTCGTTTTCAAGGGGGTCCCGACATTTTTGCAGGTCTCCCTTGAAAAAGAGATCTATGATCTCAAGGGACAATCTGGATAAATAAAGGTTTGAAATTAAATGAAAATAAAGTATTATGTCATAGAATGCCTGAAGTACTGTATGTAATGTGAGGTGACTGTGTGCTGTTGTGTTTACTTTCAGTTTTCCTTTTTGTTATCTGTCCATGTTTGTGTACTTTGCCACTGCAGACTACAAACAAATCTGTGTGTGTTGCAGGATGTTTGAGAAAAAAAATCAATGCAATATAACATAGAGTTCAAGTAATCCAGAGGTCCTCCAATACAGGCCAGTAGATCGCACTAGGGTTGTTCGTATGCAGATAAATGTTTTGATATTTGATATACTTTATTAATCCCCGTGGGGAAATTGTTTCTCTGCATTTGACCCATCCTAGTGTTAGGAGCAGTGTTTTGCCATTTTGAACCACCACCGCCCCTTCAAGTGTGAATGTGTGTACCTGAGTGTAATCACGGCATTGCAGATAAAGAGGGCACTACTCATTGATTGTTAGTTAAATAAAGGTTTGAAGAAGAATAGAACAGTTAGAAGGTCAGTGTACTGAAAATTGGTTTCTCATCTTAACCAGTCTCTTTTTTTTAAATCACAATTTCTAAACTTTCACTTCTTCCCTGTCAAACTGCCAGACGAGCCAAAGCATCCATGCCTGCACAAACCAGCCCGTGTCCCTGGGAAACTCGCTCAGCCAAAGCAACAGGGGACCCTCTGCCTGAAAGCCTCCCTGCCAGAAAAACTAATCAGCCGCCGGATCCAGGCTTCCTTCAGGGCCAGCTTCACTACAAGAATAATCTGCCTAACACAAACGCCAGTTGGGTCTGCAGACCTTGAGTACTCCAGCAGACTCGTTTCTGCCCACCAACTGTCTGCTGTTACCAAAATGGAGACCTGGAGCCAAAATGAGTGGACCTATCAGAAGACTGCCAGCTGGAGGAAGAAGAAGAAGACATGGAGGTGGAAAGTTATGAGGTTCAACAGAAATAATCCTTTTAGATACATTTGATGGTGGGAAACTAATCTGCATTTTGATTCTTATAACATTAAAGGAAATCTGTAATCTGATATCTGTGTTTTCAGTTGTTGTTGCAATTTAACTTAATCTTGGATTTGGCATGGCATCATCTCATATGTACACTAAACTTCAGCCCATTAGACATTTTTCTCCTCCAAAATATCATCTTAACATTTGCATTTTCTATTAAATACTTTATTTGTATGCAGAGATATGAAGGAATAAATTACATCAAGAAAGATACTCAACATTTGCTAAAGCCAGGAAAGCAGAAGTCATCACGTTAAGAGAGAATACAATGTCTGAATATCAATTATTCATCTTTTGAAATGAATATGGGTTAAGTATAACATTTGAATAAATGTGTTTTTATTATTATTTTACTAATATACAATTAATTGATCACGTCTGTTTTTCTTTTCATGATTGAATACTGTGGTACAACAATATAAATAATAAAGCAAAGCATGATTGAGGCTGTAAATGACAAAGTAAGATAACGTTTTGAGGTCCCAAAACTATTGGTATATTCATTGATTTTTTGATTTTATAGATCATGTCATCTAACCCTGTAATTAAAGATGAAATCATTCAATCAGAGGGTACATTTCTGCAAAAGCTATGTAAAACAGTTCCGATGGTGAAGTCAACAAAACTCATTTTTTTAATGTAATTTACTTGCCCTAAATTAGTTTTCTTTTCAATGTGCGTTTAAATAAGTCACACTTAAGCAACAATGAGAACATGTGTTAAGAACTCATTAATTTGTAAATTAATATCACATTTTCTGAACTTTCTTATAAATACGTTTTGGAAAACTTCATAAAAATGCTTTAATCAACGCCACGGTCATGCCACGCCCTCAAACGAGAATACCGCGGTGTGAGACTTCCTGTTCCTCTTAGCGATTCTTCAGAGGTTCGACACGTGTTTGCTTTGGGTCCTCTTCCAACCATCGTAAAACAAGTAAGCATCAGTAGCGTGGCGTGGGAAAAAAATTAGGGGAAGCCAATAATACGTCCTTTCTTTTGGGTCGGGGGTGTGGTGGTCAATGTAATAACGTAACCAGATGAGTGATTACAGCACCCGGTATCATTTTACACACATTTGTATCATACAGATGCGGGACTTACACACGCCTGTTATCTAACCGACAGGTCCGCACCATAGACTGTATAAATAAATGGACGTAGGGTTCGTGACGTCACCCATAGGATTCTGCAGAGTTGCCGTGAAGCCCTTAGTAGGCGGAGTCGGCCACTAACGGCTCGACAGTGACGCCAGAGTTCAACTCCGGCCTTCTCCAGCCTGCTCCAAATAAGGGCAAAGAGGCGGAGCCGAGGCGGGACCTGCTGCCACCGAGCTGGAAGTTCCAGAGCTAGCTGAAGCTACCAAGCTAAGCTAACATGCTCCCCATCTGCACGCTGCCGTCGCATTTTACGTTTCTAAGGTAAGCGGACATGAAACTATTCAGCAAAACTATAAATAATAATCTAAGTTATTGAGCTTTTAGCATAATACTTCAGAATCTTAAAACCCCTTAACGTTTGTATGCAATTGTGCTAAATTCAACACTAGAATCAAGCAAATATTAATATGTTTGCATGACATTAGTTATTTATATTTTGATATCACTTAACTATACGTTTAATACATTTAAGTCAAGCTAAGGTACATGTGATGGTAGCTAGTTAGTGCTCTTACCTGTGAGGCCTCCTCCAAACAGCATAATAACCAGACTGTATCATTAAAACTAAGTACCAGTTATAGATCCTTGACTTTAGACAAACAATTCAAAAGACAAAATGTATTTAAAGACCAATCTTTATTTGAATGTGCCTCTTAACCTGAGATATTAGTTATACAGTAATAGTATTGACAATCTAAAAAAACTGAGCAACTCAACAGTCAACTTTATGTTTCTTATTGTCTAAAGCATTTATTATTTTCATTTTCCCAATCTCATATTCAGTGTGGACGGATTGAGACAGCATGGTGTCCAGAGAGCTGCAGAGACTTCAGGGAGAAACCTCCGTGTGATGGACGTCCTGTCTGTTGGTTTGGAGAGGACTGAGGGTCTTTCCTCTGCGAGGAGGACCAGGGCTGATGGAGGAGCCCATGCTGGGCAAAGCTGATACCAACTGCACAGGCCTAGTCGGTCACTTTATTTGACTAAATGTGTTAATACATTTAATAGGTTACACCTTCTGTCCATATGTGCTTTATATTTAAAACATTTGATTAACTTTTGGTTCACATTCAATAAATTGTATTTGCACTCCTTTGTCCATTATTCTTACTGAAAATGTTAGATTACACATTCACATCTGACTGAAGATTGGCCCCATTTATTTGTGACGTTGCAAAACAAGGTACAAGTTGTGAAGCTCATAAAGTGAGGCAAATATAAATAATCAGCGGATGGAGTG